ATGGTATTGGGAAAGCTAAATATCCACATGCAAAAGAATGAAATTAGGTCCTTATATCATTTTTTTTTCTTTTGAAGTTCAATGTATATTTTTTCATTTTGGTACCAGTTCTCAAGTGATTATTTAAATTCACATTTAAATTAATTCAAATTTCATTTCTTTAATTACTGTAACCATCTTAAAGTAACCTAATAACAACTAAGGTAATGACTAGTGACCAAATGATAATTTTAAGTGGTTTTAAAGTTTTCATATGCTCTTTCTTAATTAAAATGAGAAAAACTGATTGCTCTTTATGTATTGCTAAAATTGAGGTAGTTAATGAGGAAGTTTCTGTGTGTCTGTCTTGAGATGAATTCAAGAGACTTTAAAACCACAGCAGATTCGTATAAATATAAGAGTCACACCAAGTAATTGAGGGATGTGGATAAATAGTAGTGTCTGAAAGTTTTCAATACCATTAGCTTGAGCAATAACACCACTCTCTTTACTCTCCCAAAAGCTTTCTTTTTTTAAAATAGAATAAACTCTAAAATGCATGGCTTGAATCACAATGTCTGACATAATCTTTGCTTCCTGTTTATTTTGCCCCATCTGCCCCTGTGTCCCTCACGGGCTGTCCCTCTCTTGATCTTATAGTCCGTCTATATCATTTCTGTGTCAGCCCTGGTCCTTACTTTCCCTTGTGAGGTTCATGTCGTGACTCTGCTTTTGGTTCAGATCTTTGGATTACTGTCCAGATGTTTACTTTCATCAGTATATCAAAATTGTCCTCTCTACCTTTCTCTACTTCCAGACTTGTGATTTCTGTCATGATAGTAAATGGAGTTACTCATGTCTTTGTCTCCTCCAACTGGAGCATAAGGTCCAGAAAGCAACAACTGTGCATTTTTCACTGCTATACTAGTTGTTAGAAAAATGTGCAGTTCAGAGTTTTTAGTAAACATCGGTGCAGTGAATACGTTTGTGCCTGTGTTGATTTGTGTGGGAGAGCCTATGAAGGAGAGTCATTAGCTGGGTCTCCTGAAAGTATAGGTTCAGTTGGATAGCATTCTGTGGTCCTTAGAATTGTCTTTATGGAGGTCTTTTGGCATTTCTTGGCAAGATTTCCTAAGACAATTTGGCAGAAGTCTCTCTGAATATCTTTGCATCTTGGTTCTCTCTGTCTTGGAAATAATTGCAGTTTCTCTTACATAGGAGCCTTGTAGGTATTAAATGTGATAATATAAAAGATCTATTAGCACAGAGCCAGAAACAAAGTCATTGTCTCAGAAATGTTAGCTGTCATTATATTCTTCTAGCCATGAACTTATCTAGTTCCTGATACCTTCGGAGAAAAAGCTACTACAAGGTAATGCTGATGGTGGATGGACCTCTGGCAGAAGACTCGTATCAACAGAGAATGGTGTCTGGCAAGAAAATGTTATTAGTCGACAGACATTTGCTTGAGATGTTTCCTAGGGCTTCTCTAAAAAGCTTCTGTAACAGGGTGGCTATATTAGCCATTCCCTGAACCTGCCCTTCTCAATGTGATTCCTTAGCCATAGATAACTATTTAAATTCTAATTTAAACTAGTTAAAATTTCACTATGTCCATCACTATAGCTATATTTCAGGTACATTACAACCACATGTGGCTAGTGTGCGCCATATTGGCCTGCACAGACTGAAAACATTTCCATCACCACTGGATATTGCAGATAGCTTTGCTTCTAATAATGAGGAAATGTTACATTAGCACTGTATTTGCTTTAGGTACTTTTGTATGTGCTTGATTCTTCACTGCCTATTTAGTTATGAATTCAAAGTAGTTTCAAATAGTGGAACAAATGTTTTTATGGACTTCTTTGAAAAGTTCTTCAGTAGAATGACTCATTAATTTTATTTATGAATTGTTTATTCACCAGCTCCTTCCCTCATTGTGGAGAACATATGGTGACAGTAATAGAACAAACTGCCTGCCTTTTTTCCTGTGTATTTATAACTAAGTGCCCGAAGGACACAAGATACTGTTTTATTTATATTATTTTATTTGAATTATATGCCAGAGAATAGGCTCTTGTGTATTCAGGGTTTCAATTTACAGTATTAATTAAGAACAGCTTTCCTTTTTTCTTAGCATGAATTCAGTATATTTTTCACTACTGTAGGTGAGTTTGGAGTTCATCCTGTTGTTCAGGATTAGGTTTTTGTGCCTCCTCCTCTGCCCTGTTTTTTGCTTTCTACCCTCCACTGCCACTGCGTTTCTTTTTGGTTTCTCTTTTCTGTCTTTCGTCCTTATTATTTCCTCCATTGTTCTTTCTGCTGAAAGGGAAATGTACATAATTTTTTCTTTAAATCAGTTATTGAATAAATGGAGCTTTCAACATAATGGTGAGACAAAGGATAAAGGGGGAATCTACGAAACAGTGATATGCACAAGACAATATGTTGGAAATGATCTGTACAACTTGGGAGGGCTTGGAAGGGAGGGAAAGAGGGAGAAAAATGAGGGAAGGGGTAACAAGTTAGACAAGAAATGTAATCACTACCTTACTTATGTAGCTATAACCCCTCTGAACATCATGTTGACATTAAAATTAAAATTAAAAAGAATATTTAATTTAAAAAATGCCATGGATGTGTCAGTCCAAAGGAATTCTTTTCTCAAATCTCTGTATTTCTGCTTTCCATTGCATCCTTTATACATACTTTTACTTGCTGAATATCAAAAGACTTTTACTTTTTATTTCCTATATACTTGTAAAGTATGAATACCATATTTTAGTGGACTATTTCTTGTATTTCTTGCTGAAAACTTTTTCTGCAACATAATGCCTTGTTCAGTTTTGTTATAAACTCACCTAATGTAAGATTCACTGTTAATATGTTTTTGAATATATATTTACTGTGAGTGATAAGCTACAATGAACTTTATTGCTACTTGTTTGTAATCATAAACTTTATTTGTACTTAAATAAATAACCTCAACCTCAACTTCTCATATAGCTGAAATGATAGATGTGAGCCACTGTGCCTAGCTTTAGAGGACTTACGAACTTTTCTGCCTCTGCTGGCCTCAAATTGCGATCCTCTTGTTTTCAGGTTGCCAAGTACCTAGGACTATAGGTGTGAGCCATCAGCATCCAGCATAACACTTTTTTTTTATTGGCAGATGTTAACTGTACAAAATGTGTTTCTTTGTGACATTTTCATATAAGCATAAAATCTGACCATAATAATCTTATTACATTTCTTATTCCCACATTTCTTATGCCCTTTTTCTCTTCCCTAATAGTCTCTGGGCTTGTTTCATTATCTGTGTTCTTTCTGAAGAACCTGTTTCATTGATGATGATTATTTCTCTTATCTAGCTCTTTTTTCTCTGTTACCTTTCAGTATATAAAACATATTGAAAGTATAAAAAATACAAAACAGTTAATTGCACTAACTTAAACTAAAAACTCACATTTCCCACTTTCTCTCACTAATAGGAATACTCTTTTACTTTTATCAAGCTGTGTGTGTGTGTGTGTGTGTGTGTGCGCGCGTGTGTGCATGCGCGTGCTCATGCATCAGGTCTTGGGACTTGAACTTGCTATTGCTTTTTAAGTAAATTATTATTTTTTTAAAAAGCTCTCAATATGGTTCATTATAGCACTGTGGTATAATAATACCATTCTTACTTCAGTAGGTATATAGATGATTGCATTGTGCGAAATTCAATCAATGAGGTACCAGGTAACTGGTAAAATGCAGGCAGTAGATCTATTTATATATATGGCATATGTACATAGACCAGCCTTTTCAGTTTTTTTCTCTTTCTTGTAAAAACTAAAAAGCTACAGAAAAGATTTATTATACAAATATATATATATATATATTTTTTTTTTTTGGGGGGGGGGTCCAGTCGTGGGGCCTGAACTCTGGGCCTTGGCACTGTCCCTCAGCTCTTCAGCTCAAGGCTAGCGCTCTACCACTTGAGCCACAGCACCACTTCTGGCTTTTTTCTTTTTGCTTATGTGATACTGAGGAATCGAACCCAGGGCCTCAGGCATGCAAGGCAATCGCTCTACCACTGAGCTACCTTCCCAGCCCCTATTATACAAATATTTAATGCCAGGAAACATCTTGTTGGCTACTTATCATAATGAGCAATTTGATTGGCAGCATTTCAATATGGGATGGAGGCAGATGCAAGTTGCATTATTTCCATTTTATATTTGTTTTGATTTCATTTTTCTAGGGTCCGTAGATTTCCTCTGTAATAAAACAATGATACTGTAAGGATTTTTAGGGGATCTACTGTGTCCTCTTTTATCTGACTTTCTTCCTTCAGTTTCTTGAATGCTGATTTTCCTTGGCTTCTCTTGTATTTCTTTAAACTCTTAGCCCTGCTCATTCATTGTCCTTAGTGACTTCTCCTCTCCTCACTTACCATCACTGTTGGTTCCTCAAGTGTGACTTATTACCTTCCATCTGGCTTCCAGTGGCACCCTGGGCAATCTTCCTGTATCACTTTATATAGAACAAAAGCTTTATCTTTTGACCTTATAGTCCAGAGATTCAGTAGAGTCCTTAACAGATAGTAGAAATTCATTGAAAGAGTTTAAAAAAATTAATGAAACATGGCACTTGGGAAAGATCTCCTAGCATTTTCTTTTGTGTAGGTTCGTTATTTTTTAAACCTTTTTTCTTGATACCTTGTAGGAAGAAATATATTTTAATTAAACTTACATTTTGAGTAGTGTTGAGTTGATGTGGTTAGTTTATCCTAACTCAAACCATGTCAATTTATTTAAATGCAATATTATTTCTTTATTTGTTATTGGTAGAAAGGAAGGTAGTAATTGCATATGTAATTTTTACATAGAATATTGATATCCATTTTTATATTTCCAGTAAATAAAATTTGAATTGGTGTAATTAGAAAAATATATAACATTGACTGAACTAGAAACATAAACAATTTCTTGCTCTCCATTTAAACTGCTTGTCTAATCATTTGTCTTCTTTTCTAGGTTCAACAGATAGATCGGGTGGTGGAGGTTGTGGAGGAAACAATTAAAGGTAATGGTTGGAAGTGCAGTGAGCAACTACATTATCAATGTACCACTCTGTTGACATTTATTGGGCTTCTTTATAAAAGTTAATATTTGAGGAATAACATCATAAAGTTTTGTCCTTGACCTTACTCAACGTCCAGGAAGTATATTTGTTTGGCTTATAAATGAATAAAGAAATAAGATCACAGTTTTTTGTTTGTTTTAGTCCTATTTTTATTTTTCTATTAAATAGATCTAGTGTGAAGCTCAGATCAGAAGGCAGAAAAAGAAAGTTTGTTATTTTCTTAACAAAACTAAACGTAATCTTATGTAGGCTAGTTGGCTATACCTTTTAATATTTACCTAAATGAAGTGAAAACATGTCTATAAAAACCTGCACTTGTTTATGATACCTTAATTCATAATTACTCAACTTTAGAAACAATAACAATGTCCTTCTGTAAGTAAATGGATGAAAGAACTGTGGTACAGCTAATGATGGAGTATTATTCAGCACTAAAAGAAATGAGCTATCGAACCATGAAAAGGCATTGAGGGATCCTAAATGCATGTTAAAAGAAACTAATGTGAAAAGACTATGTAGTATAGCATTTCAAGTCTGTGGTGTTCTAGAAAAGGTGAACTGAGGAGACAATGAAAGGATCACTGCTTGCCAGTAGCTTGGAAATAGGTAGGAAATGAATGAGCAGAGCATAGAAGATATATTCTTGGGACAGTAATATTATTCTGTACATTACTCCAGTGATGGATAACATCACCTTTGGCCCCTATGTAAACTCTGGATGGACACGGCATCAATAATGATGCATCAATGTAAGCTTCTAATTATAACCATCTTACCCCTGTTTCAGGATATTGGTAGTGGTAAGGCAGTGGTATATGGAAACTGTACTTCGGTTTCATTTTATTGTGAACTTGAAACTACTATAAGAAGTCAAGTCCATTTTTTTTTTTTTTTGTCGGTCACGAGGCTTGAACTTGGTTTGGGTGCTGTCCCTCAGCTCTTCAGCTCAAGGTGACTGCTCTACCACTTGAGCCACAGTGCCACTTCCAGTTTTCTGGTGGTTTATTGGAGATAAGAGTCTCATGGACTTTCCTGCCCTGGCTGGCTTTGAACCACGATCCTCAGATCTCAGCCTCCTGACTAACTAGGATTACAGGTGTGAGCCACCAGTGCCTGGCTACATTTAAAAGATCAGTAGTAGTCAACTTGAGCTTAAGAGTTTGACAGGTGGCTTGCAGAGATGTAATTTCTGTAGGAAATGGAAAGTCATGTCCAGACTGGATTAACTGAGTAGTTCTTATTGATGACTTTGGATTTGAGTAGATTCATTGGATTCAAATGGACGAGTCTACAGCAGAAGTTCAGTGAGGATGAGGTTGATTGGAATGCTCATCCACTGGTTTGCGTGAGAATGTGAAAGCTGATGCTAGTGGTATAACCAGAGTGCTTTGAGGACAGCAGGATTAATTTTGGAATCTGTACATGCAGGTGAGGAAACCAAACTATAAAGGGGTTAAGTTTGATCTCTTTATTAATGGTGAATAGAGCCTATCAAGGGACTTTTTTCTATTTCTACTGCCAGTACTTCATTTGCACAGTTCCTGTCATTGAAATAATGTAGCCCTGGTAGCAGTAACTGGTTGTTGGTTCTTTTTCAACAAGTTATTCTCTTGAAGATCAGTTTCCAAGATTAAAATGGAAAAGATTTAATGGATCCATCCTTTGAGGTAGTTGGAACATATTAGGAGATCAGTTTCTCAATGTCTACCCATACTTTCTCCTTGATATCTGGACATCTAGCTTGTTCTAACTGTTCTTCAGCAACAACAACTCTCCTTTCAATCTGACTATATAAAGTGTTTTCATTAACCCTGGGATTATTCCCTCCGGCATGTATAGTTGTCCTGTACCCATGTATCAATTTGGGACTAATTAATGTGATCTTAATTGTGTTCTACTCCATTCTACTATGTTACTTTTCTTTCATTGATAGCATTTACATACAATAATACCAGCCATCTGCACTACCTGAAATTCTTATATATTATTTTCAGTTTTCTTTACATTTATCTTAGGGTCCTAAACAGAAGTGGGTAACTTCTGCTTGGCCCTTGTCACCTTGATATGTTCCTACCTAGACTGGCTTATATGGCTATATTAGCGGGATTCTTGCCATCCGGCACACAGGTGTATTTAGCCAGTGGTAGGTGGCAGCTGTGCCAATAGAGTGAAGTAGGAGTGTTTATTCCTTGCCATCTTGTCTCATCCTTGTTGTGGTTTGGCTGTTTCTCCTCCCTCTAGGCCACAGCCTTTGTCTGGTGACCTTGTCTGTTCTTCTGTTATCTTCTGGTTCCAGTAACTGTTCCTTTCCTTTGCCTCTTCAGGCTTAGGGTGGAAAGGCTCCCTATTGATATCAGTCCTAGAGAATTAATTTGGCTCTTGTTGGTTTTCCTCACCTGCCCAAATGTAGTAAATAGTCTCTTTATGAAAACCTCTTCAGTTATGCAGAGAAAACATCTTCTGTGCTGGTGCCCTAAATGGTAAGAAGTTAGCTGTGGAGAAGCAGTGCCCTGCCCAGAAGGGCAGATGGAGTATAGCCAGACAAGAGGATAATGCTGCAACTGATTCCTGTTTGATTCCAGTTGGACTCTCTTCTTAACTCTGCCTTAAAGGCCACAGGCCACAGCCTGTTTGCATGCTTACCGCTACTTATGCTTCACCAAGTGTGAGAGGTGTCTTCATAAGACACACTGGTATTGAACATCTTCAAATTTATTGTAATTAACTTGAAGCCATACAAAGCCACTTTCCTTTCCCCTTCCCCATCCCTTCCCTTTTCCTCCTTCCCCTTTTTTCTCTTCCCTTTCCCGTTCCTTCTTTTTTGTGCTGTATCAGAGTAGAAAAATTCCCTACTCAAAGTTTTGATTTTTTTTTAAGGGGATAATAACCAGATTATAACGAGTTTAAAGATTTTCTTTCATGTAAATTTGATAACAAGATATAGAATTTAATGTATGGGATGAATTATAGTATCTAAAGAATTCACATTCTTTTAAATATATATGTGTATGTGTGTGTATGTATATATATATGCATATATGTATAGATTTATATGTAAGTATATGTATGCATACCTTAGTCTTGGTTTGTAAGGTCATTAAATTTTCTTTCCATATGAAAGATCTGAACCAAAAGTAAATCTGTCTTTCTTCCAACATAAATATATAGTTGTTTAATCAAGAAAAATATTAAAATAATCTTGTCTTCATAAAATTTATCCTAATTGTATAACTTTGTAACAGATGAGTGCAAGTAAATATTACTTATGGAAATTTAAAACTTTATCCTCCCCTCCACTCCCTTCTTTCCCTTTTCTTCCCTTCTCATATATACTCCAGGCTGGTCATGGACTTTCTTCTTGCCTTTACCTCTTGAGTGCTGAGATTGCAGACATGTATCACCCTACCCTACTTAAAAAGACTCTGTTAGAAAAACCAGTACTTCCTGTCTTGACTGTATTTCTTTGATTTTATAACTTGGTCACATCACTAAGCTTTCTTGTTCATGACTGGCTCTCTACTAGTTGAACAACACCTCCAACTCAGCTTTTTACTTATTGGAGGTCCTGGATTCTCTGCTTTTCTGCCTGGACTGCTTCAAATTGTGATCCTCCAGATCTCAGCCTTCTGTCTAGGATTTATAGACATGAGCCTAGATGTTTTGATTAGTTTTGAAAATATTTTTATAATCTTTAAGTAGCTGTACAAAGGAGTGGCCATTCAACATTTAATTATTTTTGAGATAGGATCTAATTTTTTTCCCTAAGCAAACATGGGCATAATCTTCCTATTTATGTTCCCTACTATTCTATGATGACAGATGTATGTCATTACGCCCACTTTTTTCTTTTGAGATAGGGGGCTTGCAAATCACAAACTGTGATTTTACTGATCTAAGCTTCCTAACTAGCCAAGAATTTGGGTATCATAAGCGACCATGTGTGTCAGCCTCCTAAGTAGCCAAGAATTTGGGTATCATGAGTGACCATGCGTGGCTGTTTATGTTTTTCTTAATAGTAGTTAGTTAATTAATATTTTTCAACCATTACAACTTTCAGAATATGAATAAATATATAAACTTGTAGATTTTACTGCTTTATTATAGTTGCAGAATTATTTTATATGTTTTTGAATTGTGTTAAATTTAATTATACTTCTCTAATGAGTTCATCACTTACATTTTCTTTTATGCTCAGACACATTTTCTTATAATTTAAAATCACCTTTATCATTAATGGATGCAATTTATCTGAACACAGGCATTTCATTAACTTTTGATTTCTTTAGTCAGGAGGTGAGTTGGGTGTGATGGTACATAGTGCTTAGTAGGTTATGTGCATAATATAGTGTAGTTCTCAATTGAGCACTGTTATAATGTTTTCTTGGATTTGATGGAGGAAAGGATTTTTTTTTTTTCAGTATTGGGGCTTGAACTCTGGGCCTGGTGCTGTCCCTCAGCTCTTCAGCTCGAGGCTAGCTCTCTACCACTTGAGCCATAGCACCACTTTCAGGAAATTTTTTATAGTGTGAGTACCAGAGGCTTCACACAGCCCAGCCCTAGTGTTAGAAGTTCTACTACATGATGAATCAAGTAGCCCCATCTTTCCTTGCTTGAATACTGACTTACCTTCTGTAAAAGGGAGCTTCCATGTTAACTCTTAGGAATCCTTATAGTGTTTTGGCAGGTTGCATGAGGATAAGTCTACAGTATTGTTAACTATCTTAAAAACATCATTGTCTAGACTAATGTAGAAGGAAACTGTTAATGTAAATTAGTTAATGTCAAATTGATTTTTTTAATGGCTTTTATGTTGATCATTTCAGGCATTTGATATATTGGGTTATGAAAGTTTCTCAGAAATTCTATTTTCTCAACTGTATTAATGCTTGTTATGTGATAAAGCATCAGTCTTAGAAAGAATTTGTATTATTTCTTATCTA